ATGTTATACCTTTTTATTTTCTGCCTGCTATAATTTCGCGGCAGAGTACTAAGCGAAATTCAGTTTTTATTTACTGTCAGTTCTTTTTTTCATGTCAGGGTATGATGTGAAATATAACCACAATAAAACTGAGATATTTGCAAAACTCCAGACCACAGTTGTACGCGGCGGGGATCGAACCCACTATTATCCTTTCCGGGACTATCGTGTTCACCATCACATCATGTGGGTCCTTCGTTTCGTCCTCCTCTCAGCAGTGTTTACCCTATGGGTGCTATCAGCAATCACCCGCGGACGGAATTGATCTGGGGAGCACAAACTGTCATCGAACCCAGTTGAGCTGAAGCTGTAGTACAAATCACAATGTAGCCATCAGAGTTCTAAAAGTTGAGAGATTATAGATCCAGCTGTTTACAAAATGCGATGGGAAGCTGGCTTTTGGTGAAAGTTTGTCTCTCGGCATGATCACTCAATCTGAGCTCGATATACCTCGTTTAGAAGCGTAGCTTCGACCAAATTGTTGCATAGCAAAGTCTGGAAAATTCTCCAGGAATGTCTAGCAGAGATGAAAACTAAGAAAGATACAGTCTCATAGTAAAGAGACGTGGCGCTCTCTATGTAGAGCAGGAGAGTAGTGACTGAGCAGGTGCCAGCTGCCATGATGCTTGATGAATGGAGCATGTTTCCCGACACTTGGATGACTGAGCTCAACCACACTAGATTTTAGCAAATACAAAACTTTATTTGAAATTAACAATCAGATTAGTAACATCTAAATGTTCTTTACTCAACAATAAAAATTCAAGTCGACACCACTAATTCGATTTTCAAGGTCTAGGGGATGTCCCAGTATCCATGCGATTCACTTACATTTTCCTTGTGTTTAAATACTTAAGTGAGAAAATCTTATTGACAACAATGTCACCTAGAATGAGTGATTTGTTATCCAAGTGAAGGTCATCGGCTTTACCTGAGTTCCTGCTAGAAAGTTTCTATTATTTGTAAGATTTGCATCAAAAACAACTCATTAAAGTAGATTAAGGATAAAGCGTTGGGTGTTGATCGAACCCTGAAAGACTCGCCATGCATCCTACTACATTCGCAGTGCGATGGAGGTCATTGAATGAATATTTTGAATACGCCCGCAGCCTCTTAGTGTCTCAAGCTACTGTGTTTATTCTCCCGAAGAAGTCTAACATGAATTTCCCGACTCGACAGGGATGCAGAACATGGTTTACGCGTGTGTGGAATCAACCCATGGACTTCCTGTGCATTGTAGAGCACCATTACCCACTCCGCTACACTGGTGTCTAAGTTCCAGTCTGTATAATATTAGATTCCACTTCGCAAAAAAACAGTGATTTGTTAAAAATACGTGACGACGAAACTTGACATTTAAGTGTCGCAAGCAATGTTGTAGAGTATTACAACTCGCATGTCCATTCATTTCACAACACAACGAAACGAGGCAGTAGTTCACTGATCGCATGATAACACGACATGTACTATGTGCAAACTAACCTAGAAGGAATGAAATCAATCGATTTTATCAAGCGTTTAGAATGATTTCTAGAAAAACACGCAGTTCTTGGGCAAACAACGATCGCGGACGAGCGCTAAGATGACCGCCACAAAAACATGGGCACAGGAAATCAATAGGAGGATGGTGACTTCGTAATATTCATGCAATAGTGGTGAATCGTCAGATCATTATTGTTTCATTTTTTTAAATTCATGACCATGTGAGTCACTGTACGTGTGTGTGTAACACAGTGGTTAGAGGTGTCCTTCCACACATGTGTGTTCATTGGATCGACCCTGCGCTCGGAGTAAACCAAGCCTTCCGTTCGTTTGCGAGCGGTAAATTGGCACCAGAGTTACTAGATGTTAGAGAGGATGAAACACCGATTTAATGCATCGATAAGCAAACATAAGTCATTGTAAGGCCAAATATGCATTCGATCACGCTATGAACCTACACGGAATGGACAACGTCTTACATGTTAACTTTTATGAATACTTAGCACTAGAGCTTTGCGGAACATTAAACTAATGGAGCCTTCAAGAAATGTACTGGGAAACGGTTTATTCAAATGAGACAAGATCACTTCGAAAAGCTCAGTCACCAAATGGTTCCGAATTTTTCAAATTCGATACAGAAGGTTGTTTTATAAACTCTTGAAAAGTTCTCAAATGGGATATCTTCTCACTTTTATATAACAACCTCACGTATGCTCATCAAGACAGCGCAATCGATTCATGCGGACGCTAAATGAAAGCCGATTTTTAAATATGCTCGACATATCTCGGAGCTGTTTCGTTCGTTTGAGGAACTTCGAATCAGCGTAATAGCCAAAGTTGAGAATGGATCATTCGCCTCCCATGTATTTCAGTCAAGTACCTGCCGTAAGACATAGGTGAAGCAAGGGAAGCTCCTCCCTTTGTGGCATTGGATTAACTTATTTCATATATATACGATCACAGAGCGGCACGTATGCGTGGATGAAAAAGAAAGATCGACTAAACCAGTGGAATACAATCAAGTGGGTAAGAAGCACACGGAAGGAAACTCGGTATCGGCTTCAAAAGTTGAGCCCTACGTCTACTCCGACAAAACTCGTTGACATCTGCGTATGAGACGGCACCTCACGGAAGAACCTAGTCATGATTGCTCTGTCAATAAAAAGAGTAAGAACAAAGTGTCACCTATGAAATAGTGATCCACTTCGTCTCTTTTAAGCAATCTAAGTCCATTGACGTCTCAAGCTCCGTGCATGAGACCACACCTTCATATCTTTAACAATCACGCATTGCTCTTAGTTCATGCGTGATTACTCCTTCCAACCTTATTGGTACAGCAACCTCTCGGTCAAAAAAGCGCATTTATCAAATGGTCCAAACGATGCATAGTCGTTTAACTTTCACGTATCTCAAAATAGTATTTGACACGTGAAAATATTGACACGTTTTCAAAGCATGGCAGATATTTTCCAGAACCAAGACTCGTGCGAGAAGTATATCCCATGTAAACGGAATACTCATCTGTCTTGAAACAGTAGTGTGTAGATATATCGGTTATGAGCTCTCTGTGTCTGAACTTCATTAGGTATCCACCCTTGCAATAACTCTTTGTCAGTAAGGTGCAAATCCTTCTATTCTACAATTTTACGACAAAATTCTAACTGATATAAAGGAGCAACTGGACAGAAGAAGGAGAGCCGCATGCTTCACATTCCGGCCTCTTAAATAACCCACCGACCAAATAAAGGATCCGGAAATCCACGCTCTTTTTCGATTAAATAGCCCTCCTAATGCTCTGTTGTGCAGCAGAGACGTAAACCGATCAAGAATACCGCGAACTCCTCACAGAGCTCTTGAACGACTTCTTCTAAAGTATAACCGGCAACCGCAACATCTTGCCGGAATGCGAAGCTCTAACCTTCGAAATCTGTCACATCTTCGAGATCCAGGAAAACATACATCGATAATCGAAACACAGATAGGTCCGTCACATAATCACAAGGACGGACGATAGATGGACGAAAGGAACTGTAGAGTGGACTCCACGAGAAAGCAGCTGTACCTTGGGACGACCATCTACACGTTGGTCGGACGTCTTCTTAACCAATGTCAATCAGCTGTACTCTCAGCCGCAGTTGTTTTGCAGATTACGGTATTTGACTCGCACTCGCCATCATGCTCGAATCAAACCACCACCATGGACGACGACTGCGAGAGAGAAACGAATGGCGAACGTGCTGGGATCCACACAACTCTTGAAGACGGTTTGTCCAAGTATACAAGTAATTCCCAGCTTTTGAAGGCAATAAAAAAATACTTTTTCGCTCTCCTTTTCGTCAAAATATCGAGGTGGATATGAAATGGCGAAGTGGCTGAACAAGTGGGACTGGCTCCGACATGATCGTACCCCCAATGCTTTGTCACTGCACCCATCGCTTAAGTGTTACAAATTCGAATTTATTTCCAACTTTTCGAGTACTGCGATTTCAAACACTGTCCCACCATGTGTCTTCCACAAAGAAGTGAACATCTTCGCTAATACAAAAAGGTTTAACTAGTAAGACTTCAGGTTACAAAGCTACGAAATATCCCAAGACATGGGAACCATGTGGATCGCTCTATTAAAGAGATCCTTTTTCCTTCTAAAAGGTACACGACTATGCTCTATGAATCGTTTGTCTGAGTTTTTCTGAACGAGCTCTTCTGCTCTTTGTTAACTTTCTATAGTGGCCCTCACATTTTAACTACGGCTTTGTGATCCTTAACATTCAAATTCACCAGCAGCTCTGGTAGATGTTTTGCCGACTTTTCTGATAGTACTTGCCCAATGAATAGCATACTTTGTAGGAACTATTCCTGCACATTCAGTATTAAACTATGCATGGTGCCAAATCACCCTCTGGTCCACAAGGGCCGCGACTCACTTAGGTAGTGACGACCTGAGAAAGGCTTAAGCTAGGCTGACCTCGTGATTCCACGAAACCAAAATGCCTAAACCAGCAAATCTCCGGAAAACGGAAATTATCTTCGGGACCACACAACCAGTGAAGACGAGCCATCCAAGTTTCCGAGCTGGTAACTAGGCAGATAGAGCTACGACTTGACCATAGCTGAAATTTTTTGCCGACAAATCTAACAGAAAACAACCGAAATCGCTTTATGCCATATTGCTACTTAGTTGACACCATTATCACTGTGCAATTATCTATGATAAGAAGTATTAACAGATAAAACTACAGGATCTTGCCATGGAAGCTAACCTGAAAGTTTGTGAAACTGCAAACCGCTAAACATAAATCATGGCACTATTAGATTCGTAAAAAAGATGCATGAACAAAAGTAGTGAGATCGCACAGAACTGGGAAGAACAACAATAAAAACAAAACAGGTCCCGTATTAAGATCGCAAAACTTGTTCACAATAATCGGAACTAATTACAGACCACTGTGTCGGATGAATTCAAACTTCCTCTTTTTTTGTTAAGGTTCGGCCCTTGGTCCTACAGCAAAATAACCACTAAGATCGTCCATTCGTGTGGATATCCAAGCAAGAGCACTACGTACGTATACATTTTCAAAGATACGATCACGTAGAAGGTACAGAACCACTAAAACACGACCAGCTGTCAATCGCTTCAAACAACAATAAGAACAAGAAGCATAATGCAATAATTACACTACAACGTTAATTACAAAACAACCAACTCGTAAGAGGAGGAAGTACATGTGTGTCGTCAACCCCTTTTTGACCATCGAGCAACATGTTCGCACCAACAAAGTCTCCTTTCCTCCTATTGAAAGGATCTATCAGCTCAGAGCGCAAACAAAGTACCACATTTTTCGTTGATAGTCTTTGTGGCAAAATCATAACAATCAGCTCGTAAATCGTTCTCTTCTGCGCATGACGATTTTTGTCTATCAGCTTGTTCATCGGTGTTCCTCATTTTCGATCGAACTATTTCTATCTCCCACTTATTGAATGAGATATTTAAAGCATGTTTCTCTAAATGGCACATTTGCAGATGATGAACGCCTATAAACCCGGTATTTAGAGCGTACAGATGTCTATAGTATTTGCTTCAATGGAAAAAACTCGTTTAGTCGAAAGTACTGGCGGGAACCCAGCTGCTCCCTCTTGCGAGCCGATGCTCTATCCTGCCCAACTTTTTATCTAAATTATTGATTGTGCTGATTTTTATCTAAATTATTGATTGTGCTGATTTTCTTCGTATTTTTGTTGAGCAAACGCGAGGTGTTACTATTCTTTGTTCACGATTAAGCTGACGTTTCGGCGGATTTCGCCTTCTTCAGAGCCTGGAAAGGTCAAGTTGATAGCAACATTCTTTGTTCACGATTAAGCTGACGTTTCGGCGGATTTCGCCTTCTTCAGAGTCTGGAAAGGTCAAGTTGATAGCAATCAACTCGGCCAGACGCCTCCATAACCAAACAAAGAAACTCCAAACCAAGATTTCAATCACTTTGAACACAGATTTGCACACTCACCGCTTTCTATGAGGTTTCCACTAAGTATGTCACGTAGAGACCAACCGCACAGAAATCACGTGGAAGCATAATGTGCCCCTCACATCAGAAAAGCAGTTTTATATACTGCCCTATATCACGCGTGATAATGAGGCATTCTTCCCTGCGGTTCATTTTCGGATTTCTGGAATTAATCCAGAGTGCCTCGAGAATTTTTCGCGCCTGTGTTCTTGATTCGTATGCGAGGATCGTGACACATACTTCAAAGTCCTCCCCGTTATGTCTTTGGGTCCTATGCGTGCCTAGCGGGGTATTTGGTCTATGTTTGCCGGCTAGGTGTTCTTTTATGCGAACACAGAGGGGTCTGCCCGTTTCGCCAATGTATTCGTCACCGCACGTCTTACGGGAGATCAGATAAACTATACCCGAGCTCATGCAATCACCGTCTCTTACCACTGGGGTAAATTATGCAATTTTGAGTTGCACATAGACGGTCATATAGGCGGTTACGAACTAGCTGGCGCTTAAGATTACTCGGTGGTATTTCAACTACGCTCACCGAATTCTCTAAGCCCCCCCTTCTTAAGCAGCGTTTTATAGCTGTACTTATATCATTTGAGATGAAGGGTAGGATAAACGGGACCCTTCTATCGCTAGAGCTGTCGTTTGGAGGCCTACGATTTCCTCTACACCTATTATGAGCTACAGTTTCGTAGCCATTAGAAACGGCTATTTGCCGTGCCAAGTTCCGGGACACCTCTCTCTGCTCTCTTCCCGTGCACACGTTGGTTGCTGTTCGAAACATGTTTCTTATAAGCGCCTTTTTATTCGCAAACATCCGAAATTTAACATCAACTTCATTATTGGGCTCTTGTTGTCTAAAGAACGTCGGGGGAAATGGTGCTATTGGCACGGCCCCCACTTCGCAAAGCTACTTTAGCATTAGACCTAATAGAGTTGCAAATCAACACTGACCCGCCCACTATTCTCCTCCAGAGGTGGTCCTCCAAATATTTAGCACAAAAGTTTTCCTTCGTCTCGCACTTCTTCCACTTGGCGAACATCTGGTTTTGTCGGCTTCGTAGACAAGTGCATAGTATTCGCAATTCGACGTCCAATACTTGGTGACTGTCCTCTGGTAGACCGCATACGTCGTGTAGTCGTCTTCGTTTGATGAAGTTCGGAACGACTTGAATGAAACACTCAAAGTCCTTAATCACTATCGCGCGAAAAGATACAGCTCCAAGCTCACTGCAGTGCAAAAACGTGGTATGCGAGAGGTACGAGACCTGATAAGGTTGAAAACCATAAGACTTTCCGTTAGTGATAAGGGTGGAGAGTTTGTCGTAATTCCTCATCAGTTAGATGTGGAGATAACGAAAAAGCATCTTGAAGATGCTTCGCTTTATCGCTCATCATCTGAGGAGGAATTCAAAAGTAAATACCGAAAACTAAACCACGAATGGGCCAAAATGGCAAGGGCTGCTGGTTTAAAACCATCAGTTATCTCTCAACTTAAAGTTGCCTTACCAACATGCCCCGTCCTGTACTTACTTACAAAAACTCATAAGTTAGTATCCAGCGATGATCTTGCCTCTAACGATCCATCACTATTTAAGGTTAGACCTATCATTAGCTGCGTAGACGGACCAACAGACAGGATAACATGGCTTTTAACCCTAATATTTAACCAGTTGTTGAAACACATTCCAGCCCATCATACGAATACCCAGATGTTTCTGGATCGTCTACGTACTGCGCAGCCCAACAGCGCGTGCGTGATGGAGTCCTTCGACGTTACCGCCCTTTATACAAACGTGTCGAATGACTGGGCAATGCAAGCCATATTCGAACTCCTTACACAACACGAAGGAGAAATAAACATGTATGGCTTCAGGATAGAGCACCTGATGGCACTCTTAAAAGAATGCTTGAGCTGCTCAATCTTCAGATGGTCTGGAAAGTACTACGCTCAAATAAGAGGGTTGGCAATGGGACAACGACTGGCTCCAAGCCTTGCCATTGCATTTATGTCTAAGGTGGAAGCACCGGTGACTGATCTCGGGCCGCTACTCTACTGTAGGTATGTAGACGACTGCTTTGTCCTTTGCTCAACACAAGAGGAAATGGACAAATGCTTCGAATTGTTAAACGCACAGTCAGAGTATATCAAGTTCACCCGAGAAAAGCCGAAAGAAAAATGGCTTCCATTTTTGAACGTACAAATTCACCTATCAGAAAATGGCTACATTACGAAGTGGTACCGAAAGCCAAGTAGTAAAAACATCTTGGT